CAATGCCACCCCTCCCGTGGATTTAACAACGATTCGTCGAGGAACGCTTTTCTCGGCTGGCCGTCCGTACGATCAGGACGGCAGGCATTGGTCAATTTCATTTCACACCTCTGACCTCTGGCTACTCATGAAAGTTTTCCGTGCTGGAAGAGCGCCACTCGAGCACTTTCACCACATACACCGCTGAGATTTCTCACCCACACCACCCTGGAAGCATGCCAGTTTGTCACAGGCCTCGACTGTGCCCTGCATGATGGAAGTTATCACTGACACTCTCAAAGAGAGTAGATCTAAATGAATGATTGATTGATTGTATGAATTGAATTTTATGTTTCAATTGTTTTCAATGAAAGAACATTCATTGTTGAACTTCTACAGAGTAATTTGCTTTGATTCGCATACAAAAAGGAAGAAATATTGAACAACACAAGCTGAATTGACATTTTAGAGGAACTGTCTCTATACCGTCAATTTGAAGGTGGAGAATAAAAAACTTAAGTTACAACTACAGTGTTAAAGTGCTGTAATTATGACTGTCATCATTACTCAAATACTTAAAGGACACAATAAATGCTCACATCTAGGCTCACGTGGATGGGTAACATCTACCCTCAAACTGAGGCCCCTCCCCCCTTTCCCCCATTCTCCCCTTCCTTGCATGGAGGCGGGGTGTGGTGTAGAAGTTAGAGAAGATGGAACCACACTAAACTTGGTACCGTAGTTTTGTTGTTTCAAATCATGGCTGAGTGGGTAAAACGTTTTCCGTCTTAGACTTAGACAGGTAAAAATGGATAGTGGAGAGAGAGAGAGAGAGAGAGAGAGAGAGAGTTATTTCTCATTTCTCACTAAAGACCTTGTCTCTCACCAGGTCGAGATAACTCGGTCTGGTCTCAGTGGCTCAGGGACTGACCTGACTCAGTGGCTGGTTGGGTTGGCTGGGTCATTCACCCCTTGGAACAGATAGATTACAAAGTGCATGCGCCGCTCTTTTTTTATATTTTTATTTCGTTGGTTTTTGTTGTTGTTGTTGTTGTTGTTGTTGTTGTTTTTGTTGGTTTATTGTTGTTGTTGTGGGGT